GGTATATGTTGCTCCTACTGTCCTACACAGTACTTATAATTATATATATCAAGCAATACCCATTTTGTTTTAGCATGCCCACTTGTACGGGGTTTCTGTTCATAAATTCAACGCATTATATACTTGCATATTTTATTCATATGCTGATAATGGTGATTTAGTTAATATACCTGTATATATAGCAAGTAGATTAGAACAGTGATTACAACTATCAGTCCTATGTTCTTTTGGGACCTGGTGTGGCTAGTAAAGCAACCAACACCAAATCGGCCAAGCATCTTAGGTTTTTTCCTTCTTGAAACCACAGGTCAAAGTCTGAAGCATGTGAACATGTTTGGCAGGAAATTAAGAGTTGGATCCTACAACTGTAAATGGACATGTTTTTTTGGAATCCTGTTCGGTTATCTCAAATTTCTATGCCATGGTTTTTTACCTTTTTAGTGGAAACTTTGATATTGATCCCGATCAATCTATCCTTGTTTCCTCAACGTCCAAAGGAAATGATGCTTGGCAACAACATAGAAACATGTTGTGTCAAATAAAATTGCCCAGTTGACCTTGTTGGGCCAATAAAATGTTGGTTTTCCTTTCCACTATCAGCATACGAACCACGTGTAGGAGTTTTTATATGTTTAAGTTTTTTTTCTGTTCCTCTTTGTTTTTCTTGTTCAGGTGAATGGATGAGAGGATTAGAAAATTCCATGTGAGTGGAGGTTTTTAATATTTAAGTATATAATCGTGTTGGGGAATTTGCACTATGAGGGCAGGGACCTTATTCGGAATCATTTGTTTATATAATAATATATATATATATTGATCAAAGTAAAAGGTACAGAAGAGTACAGTAATGCCTTTTTTTTATGCATTTGTTGTTATCCACATATATATAATCAACATTGCCAAGATCTGACATCTGTCTGGGAGTGGCCTTGCTAAAACTACAATAATTTCTCTTCTCTAAGCCTCCGCCTAAACTTGCTGGAATGATACAAGATAAAAAGGTATTAGTTCAGAAAGAACTGAAAATTACTACACATAAAGTTTATTCTTTCCTCCTCTGTCTCTTATGGGGAACTAAATTCTTTACAAAAAGAAGAAGAAGAAAGAATTTGAATCAATTAAAGGTTTTACAGAAGAAAATCTACCCTAGCTAGTAAGAATCACCACATATATAATTAGAATAATACCTTGTCTTCCAGTAGAATATTTTCAGAATTTGTTTTTAAATTTATATCTCCTATATATACTTGTGTGTGTTTGAGATTTTTATAGTAAGTTTTAAGCTACAACAATAAAAATACTTGGTAAACAGTTTTTAAAACTGATAAAGATTGAAATTGATTATTATTAATTAAAGGATTCCAATTTCTTATAATGGGTAGGAGTAGCTTTTCAAAATCAAATTATTTCTAAAGCTGATTTTATATTGTAAAATGATAAATATACCCATATATAATATTTCAAATTACAAAACTAACTTAAATAAACATTTGATTTATTACATAAATAATTTCGTAATAATCGACACTCAACACCGGTGAACAGTGGCGCATTGGCACCACATCCAATCCTATAAGGATCAGAAATTTCCGATTCAATTGGATTCTCACGTCGCTTTTGGTCATAGAAGGCAGCCAAATTTTTTTAGCCTTTTGCAACCAAAATATAGGTTGGAATTCAATGATTTAACTGGATTTTAATAGATCAAAATATTCTTAGAAACATCAAAATTACTCAAATAGATGATTAAGTATCATTTGGCAGTTACAATTTTTGCTGATACTCATGAACTAGTTGAAATCAATAAGCTTTTATTTCATGAGGAGGGCTCTTTCTTTCCATGTCTTAAAATCACTACCATCTATAATGCATCTCAATCATTTCTAAGTTAAAAAGGTGTAGGAGTAGATATAATATTAAAATGAGTTTACTAAAAGTCTTTGCTAAACTATGAATTATAATGTGATTGTAAAAACCATAGATTCTAATTAACAAATCTCTTTGTTATAGCATGCCTCAAAAGAGTATTGCCTTTAATCAGAGGATCGATTCCTCTTACACCAAACACTAAGGACCCACCAGCTGTCTAATGGGCCTAAAAAAGTAAGCCCAATGGGTTAGTTGAGCCCATGACTCAATTAATGGGAATCTCTCTAGGATAGAAGAGAAGTAGTGCTCAATGATGAAGTGCAAAGCAAAGATGCCCACTTCTCTTGTTAAAAAGAAAAAAACAAAAGATGGGAATTTCCTCCAAATCTTATTAGCTGCTTTCACCGACAGTTTTAGTTGGAGGAGCTAACAAGCGCCTGAATCCACGAGTGCACAATAGCAAGTCAGGAAAGAAAGCTGAAATTTTTTTGGTCTATGAATTGACAGCCATTTTCTTCATGGGGGGTAATTCATTCTGCTATTTTTTCATTGGAAAAGCAAACAAATCAAAGATGGCCACACAATTTTGATTAGGCTGATTTCATGTTACGGCAGGCCGCGTCCCAGCGCATTATATATTGTATGTATTTGTTCCCTACAACTTTTGTATAATTATCTCTCTTTTTTTTTTAAAGTTAAAAAGGGGATAAGGATATGCTTTGGACAGTCAATTTGATTTCATAGGATGGAGATGGACTATTATTATCAATATCAATTCAATTGTGCTTTGTTTCTTCAGTCAATTCATAATCATAGTTTTACCACATTATTACTATATTAAATAATAAGTCTTCCTCTATGTTAAGTATTAGGACTCATTATTTGATAAGATTTTAGAGAGAATGCATAATTTGCTTCAATCCAGTTATATGATTCATAATCATAAAAAATGACTTACCTAGCCAGGACATTGGACTCTAAATCCAATAACCTAAAAAACTACTTGGTTTGTGGTTGAATGACAAAATCTTAGATTACTTAGAGGTCTTATTCGAGTCACATCAAATGATCACTGACCATATTTATGATTTACGTGATCCATTAAACATGCACTGTCCGAACACTCCGATCATAAAAAAAAAATTAAAAAAAAAATTAAAAAAAAAATTAAAAAAAAAATTAAAAAAAAAAAAAAAATCATAAAAGATCATAAAAAATGAAATTTAGATAAATAAGCCACCGTAAAGTGAAAGTGGTTTTTTTTAGTTTTCCATTCCCATAGCCACCTACAAGTATTGAAGATGCAGGTGATTTGCTTATCTTTTTTTTTTTTTTTTTCTTTTTTAATTGCAGAAATAGAAACTTAAACTTCATTTCTATTCTCTTTTATAGAGTATGATGCTGACTTTCCTATCAAGGCTAAAAGTAGAGACTTGTTCATTTGCAATTAACATTAATTCCATCCTCATTTTGTTAATTTTTCTATTATTAATAACAAAGATGAAGCTTTTTTAACAAATAAGTGGGAATTAAAGTAACTACACTCTTCCAAAATGGTTTACAATTTTGAGCAAACGACATATTCCCACCCAAGGTTTAGCGAAATATCAAGTTGATACACTTGGTTGCATTTATTCCAGATTCTCATCCTTAAAGTAACATCGTTTCCTTTATTTTAATAAATTCGCATTTTTTATTGTAACACGGTGCACGCTAAAGTGTGCTGGTGCTTTCTTTGGCAAAAGATGAGTTCATGTTAGAAAAAAATGGCTCACATTAACAGCATCCAAGCCAAAGGTTTTTGGTTTTTTTCAACGATTCTAAAATACAAAATCACTTTCGAGACTACGTTGAACTCCTTACAACCTTCTCTACAAAACTCATACATTCATTTACCGACCTCACTCACCGTTTTTTACTACCTCCAATAGTCACTAATAATGTTATTTTAAAGATGAGAATCTAAAATAAATACAATTAAGGATATTAGTTTAGAATTTTGCTAAACCTCGGGTGAGAATATATCCTTTACAATTTTTGACAAACTATTCTATGTATCAACTGTCTAAAGGCTTGGAAGGGTCCACGATGAGTTGGGCGTTCAAGGACGGAGTAACACTGGTACAGCCCTTTTACAAGCACAACAACTCTGATCTGGTATTAATGAGCCAGATCTAAGCTCAATTTTCCACATCCATTCCTGGTTGTTAGTCTTATTGGGCAGGTAGGGAGTAAGCTGTAATGAGCCGACAATCTAATGGGCTATTTATATCATCTGGCTTACCTAGATTTGTGCCTTTGTGGGCCTTGGGGCTATGACCACATTTAATTATTGTCTGGAGTCAATACTGATCTGTGGACTATTAATTAAGTCTGGTCAACCACGTGGTTCATGGGGGTCAACACATACTGGAGCCAGTAGCTGGGACAAGAACTAACCCAGACCCACATCCCTTACTTTCAGTTGGTCATTAAAAATCTCCGGGGAAAGTAAACCGAAAGAAGAGCTATTTAGGAGTAATAACGGAGGTATTCTCTCTTGAGTATTCTAATTCAATCCTAATTTCGACTGCTGACAGAGCTACCAGTAAAAACTTAGAAAATAACTTGAAGGGCGTTTTGTTGGTATAACTGCATTGATTAGCGAGCACATGACACCCATAAAAAACAGAAACCCTTTTCAAACCATGGCCGTTCACCTAAACTGTAGTTCCAGATTTGGAGTATACGCAATTCTTTGTGTGCGCAATTGTATAATCATATGTGTCTTGATGTCCTGATCATTACTCTGTCAGTCACCAGAATCTAAGAATTGAATTAGCTGTAATTTTAACTAAACCATATATTAACGTCAATTAGGCGAAAAAGCATAAATCTTATCTTCGGGAATCTAAGATGTTAGTGATGCATATGATCCAAAATTGATGTTCTTTCCGTGCTTAAGCAGTCAAAACAGAATTTTAAATTACTGTTAAAATCAACGGAAATGATACTCTCTTTGACTCCCTTTGCAATACTAGAAGACAGAATCTAATCTTCAAAATCAATGATGTCTCAAAGTCCTAAGAGTTCATCACTGGATTGGTACTTAATAATTGCATAAGCTCTTGTATTAAACATAGAAATCCTACTAATAGAAAACAGATTTAAGATGGGAAATTATTATTTGGTTCTGCATCTTTATGCTTCTTCTGCAAAAGTGACAAACATAAAACACCACAGACTACAGACTCCACCAACTACGTACAAACACAACTCAAGCTAATATTTTACAGGTGATCAAGATCTAATATGTTACAAAATACAACAAGCGAATGATCCAAGAAATTCTAACCCAACTGCCTAATCTGAAAAGACTCAAGCACTCGAATTGATTTTCTCATTTTCCTTAACTTCAATTTTCTTAGCAGTACCATCTTTGCTGATGACAATTCTCACTAATTTACAAGGGTCAGCTTCCTCGAGCATCTGAACCACAATTCTCATCGTGGGTCTTTTAACTGGTTGCCTTGCCGTGCAGAGAACTGCAATTCGCAATATCTCCACAGCATCTTCCTTGAAAACTTCTGGGATTCTTGAATCCACAAGGCTTAACACACGTTTTTTACTGTTGAAGTTGCTGCATACCCAACTCACTATGTCCGTATTCTCTCCATACTCAAGCTCTATCGGCCTCTTTCCAGTAACCAGCTCCATTAATACCACACCAAAACTATACACATCACTCTTCTCATTAACTTTGCTTGTGTAACCGTATTCTGCAAAATTAACATTGTGTTAATTATGTATAAAAACCTTCCCCATAAAATCCAATTTTAAAGAAAATTCAAAAACAAAAGTAACATTGCTATATTTTAATGAGCAATCAAACAAAATAATAGAAAATTTCTTACCAGGAGCGATATAACCGTGGGTTCCAGCAATTATATGACTGGAGTCTTTACTGCTATTGGCTTGAACAATCTTAGCAAGCCCAAAATCTGCAATCCTAGGCTTCAAGAATTCATCCAACAAAATGTTACTAGACTTGACATCCCGGTGAATAACTGGCCTCACGAACCCATGATGCAGATACTCCAACCCCTTTGCCGCCCCAACTGCAATTTCGTACCTTGTCTCCCAATCAAGTTCCATTTTTCTGGACGTGTGCAGCCGATCCCACAGGCTCCCATTAGGCAAATACTCATAAACTAACAAGCTTGAGTCTTCACTAGTAATACTACAATACAGCTTCACCACATTCACATGCCTTATTGAGCTCAAGGTCTGTACCTCTGCTTCGAACTCCTGAGACTTTCCGCCACGTTTACCAAGTATTGGAGTAGTACTCCGGGCTCTTTTCAGGCCATTAGTATCACTATTCCAAATGTGTTTCACGGCAAGTTCTTTACCGCTGGATAACATAACTTTGTATACATTTCCAGATCCTCCTTTTCCTATCAGATTCTCTTGCTTAATGGAATCAATAATCTCATCTTCAGACGCAACTAATTCACGGAAAGGCTTCATGTTCCAAGATTCTTCCTTCAATGAAGGGTCGTGATCTTTCTCTCTCTTCTTTAAGTAGAAGAAACATGCAAACGAGACAAGCAAGATCACTGTACCTAAAGCAAAGCAAATTATGAGCGTGAGGACATCCTTGGATATCTTTGACTTCTGGGAGCATCGCTTGAAGGAGCTAATAGTCTGACTGCAGAGGCCAGGATTTCCGGCGAAGCTACCATTGTATGCTTCAATGGAGAGCGATCCTGGAATGTGACCAGTTAATCTATTGTTGGACAGATCAAGAATAACTAGTCTCAAAGATGACAAACTCGCTGGAATTTGACCAGAAAGTTGATTTTCTGATAAATTCAGAGAGTTAAGAGTCGGTAAAGACCCCAAAACTGATGGGATTTGCTCAGAAAATAAATTGTGAGCCATGTTTAGGTCGCTTAGAGAATTGCATGAACCTAATGACTTTGGAATTGAACCAGAGAACATGTTGTTCTGCAACTTAAGAGTGCTCAAGTGTTTCAGGTCCCCAATCGACGCTGGAAATTTGCCTGAAAACTGATTGTTACTCAGATCAATAGTAACAAAAGATGAAGCTTCCGAAATTTCCTCCGGTAATTCACCAGATAACCGATTGTTTGCGGCATATAGCTGCGCAAGGGCTTTTGCGTTTCCAATATCTTTAGTGATTGGCCCTTCAATTTGATTCAACTCAATGTCTATTATATTCAAATTTGGCAATCCCCATATTCCAGCTGGCACAGTTCCAGTTAGTGAGTTTTTACTAACTCTGAATCGCTCTAAAGTCAAGCAATTCGCATAACTCGCAGGAATTTCACCTGTGAATTTGTTTTGTAACATGAGAAGCCCCTTCATGGTACCTTTCTTGCACATATCTGGTGGAACCGGACCTGTCAAAAAATTCTCTGAAACATCAATGAAATCAAAGTCAGCCCAAGAGCCAAGTTCTTTAGGCAAAGGTCCAGTCAACTGGTTGGTGTACAAAGAAAGATTCACCAGTTTTTTAAACTGGCCCAATTCAGCCGGTACTTCACCGGAAAGCTGGTTCTCAAACAGCTGAAGAGACACCAGATTTGTCAGGAACCTCACTTCAGACAAATTGCCTTCAAGAAAGTTGGTTGACACATCAAAAAGTTGAAGATTAGTTAAGTTTCTCAATCCAACAGGAAGTTGTCCTGTCAATCTGTTTTGGTAAAGCTCGAGCTGCCACAATTTGTTGAGCTTCCCAATATCTGTTGGTATCTCGCCAGTTAAATTGTTTGCAGAGAGCTCCAAGTTTATGAGCTCCCCTAAATTTCCAATTTCGGCTGGAATTGGACCCTGAAGGCTACAGTTTGATAAATAGAGCCAATTCAGCTTGGTCAGCTTTAAGACTTCAACTGGAAACGGGGTTGGAGAGAAATTATGATCGCCGAGACTCAGTGAAATCAGGTTTGTCATTTTTTCAAGTGATGCCCATGGAAAAACGCCAGAACACCCGCTGTTATTCAGATATAGATAGCGCAATTCACTGAAAGACGATATGCTTGGAAATGATCCCGAGAAACCATTGTTGCCAAGATCCAAGTATTGTAATTTTGTACAGTTGTTCAATTCTTTTGAGATTGTGCCATACAAAGAATTGAACCCAAATGAGAGCTTGTCCAAGGACTGAAGCTGGCATATTGAATCAAAAAGAAGAGTTCCCGTCAATTGTTGATTAGAAAGCTCAATTTCTTTGACGAAATTATCTGAGTTGCAAGTGATGCCTGTGAAATTGCAAACGTGATTATTTGAGACCCAGGAAGCTAATACATCAGTGTTTGATCCTTGAAGGGCGGTTTTGAGCGTCAGTAATATCTGAAGCTCGTCGGATTTGATACAGGAAAAGATGGAAAGGAAAAGAAAAAGACAGAGAGAGGAACTAGCGAGTGACATAGGTGACGGTGAGAAAGAAAAGATAAGACCAAAGGGTCTATTATTCATAGAAGAGCCATTTTTAACTAAAATGGATGGCCTCTTAATCTCATTCTCAATAAGCCTAATACTTACAGATACGTACAACTTGTAAATGGAGTAATGTTTACTCACAATCTTACTAATTATCTTACTATTCTTTGTAAATATAATTTATAGTATGGATATTATATACATAGTATGAATATTATATATAATTTTAATAAAGGTAATAAGATGGTTAATAAACTCGTGAGTAAGCATAATATTATTATCCGTAAATGCTTTGGTGGGATTTGGAGGTTCTGTAGCACTAAGCCAATTTTTAACATTAGTAATACGAGATTTTTGGTTTTTATAAAATTGTTTTTGGAAATATTTTATTTAATATTAATCTCATGTTTACAACAACTCATATATATATATATATATATAGAATCCCTTAACAGATATTATTCTACCTTCCATTATACTGTAAACACCATTTCAGCAAATAATTATTGTGGTTTTGTAGAATTAGTGCGATCTAATTTTTGTACTACTCTCACAAGCTATAGAGAGTATGGGCCACCAACCACGTGGATGACAGTGGTGGTGGGTAAGTGGTAAGAGGCAGCCATTAATTTGAAATGCAGGAGACAAATCTAGAATAAAAGGGAAAATTTGCCCATCTACCAAATGGAGCATTAGATCAACAAGGCAATAACAAACAAACATTTTCGTGTCATTTTAGATTCCATAGCCATCCATACACAATAACACTTGAAAGCCCATTGGCCATTGTCTTTTTGAGGCATGTGATAGGGTTACTCAATTTGAAAAATATAATATTCAGACATTCTAGTATTTATACATATAAATAATCATAGGGTCTGATTAAAAATTGACATAAGAGCAATTTAGTGCTCAAGAGTTTTCTAATAATCAAGATCCCGTAACTTAACTATGATTGAGTAAGATTAAAACTATGAATTCAATTGATCCCTTTTTAACCTGATATAGTCATTAATCATCTTTTAATACTAGGTAATCAAACAGTCAACTAGGATTTTTGGATGTATTTCTTAAGAGGCTTGAGTTCAATCTACTTTAGCCGATTAAAAGGTTATTTGATCTTTGATTTTAGGATTCTAAAGAATTAATTGAAATGTGAATTTTATTATTTGTTATATAGACTTATAGTGGGTAGGAGCGATTTATTCCTCTTCCAGGTTTGGTTGACTAATTGAGTAAATAAAAGGAGGTATAGTGTTGATTGCTGTCCTCCGTTACTTATCTTTCTTCTCAGAACGGTAGACCAAGTCTTCCATAAAATGACAAAATAACAGGAAAGGAAATGCAAACGAGAAGAAGATGAGCAATTAATTGTTATTGTACCCTTTAATCTGTAGTTTAATTATTATTATTTTTTTCTTTTAAATGATTTAACAAGTAGTTAATAATCAAAACATTCATTGTATTTTTATGATGATATATGCACAAATTGTTTTGCTGGCTTTTGGGATCCATCTGTTTGGTACGCGCTCAAGTGACAATGAAATGTGATATACGGAAGTATGAACATGAAGCCGCCGACATTGACTAAATTGGAGGATTGGGTTCAATCAAAAGCACGTGGATAATGTTATCAATAAATATCGAGTGATGAAAGAAACCTCCATCGCTGTTGATTCACTTTGAGACAAAACTCAGCTGCTTCCAAGGGGAATCCATGGATGGTTGATTCATTGCACCTTCTGTAGTTGCAATCTATAGTAAAATGACAGCAAATGGGGATGTCCTATCATTATCTTTTATGTGCATAGTCAAAAACAACTCACCAACAGGTGGGTCTAAATCACCCCATCTTATTCTTACTAATGTTACTGCAAAGAAATTGTGGTTACTTTTCACTACCATGCAACTGTATATTTCATGACAATTAAATGACGAGAGTCTTGTGATTTGTGAATCAAATAAAAAAAATAAAAAAAAAATTGTTGGCTTTTTCACAGCTAAAGAGGTAAATATCTCACTCTATATATCAAAATTGAAAACAAAAGATTTAAGATCCGGAATTCCCACGACTAAAATAGTAAATCAATTAGGCGAAAAAGCAAAATCTTATCTCCGGAATCAGAGTTACTGATGCATATGATCCAAAATTGATGTTCTTTCCGTGCTTAAGCAGTCAAAACAGAATTTAAATTACTGTTAAAATCAACGGAAATGATACTCTCTTTGACTCCCTTTGCAATACTAGAAGACAGAATCTAATCTTCAAAATCAATGATGTCTCAAGTCCTAAGAGTTCATCACTGGATTGGTACTTAATAATTGCATAAGCTCTTGTATTAACATAGAAACCTACTAATAGAAAACGATTTAAGATGGGAAATTATTATTTGGTTCTGCATCTTTATGTTCTTCTGCAAAAGTACAAACATAAAACACCACAGACTACAGACTCCACCAACTACGTACAAACACAACTCAAGCTAATATTTTACAGGTGATCAAGATCTAATATGTTACAAAATACAAAGCGAATGATCCAAGAAATTCTAACCCAACTGCCTAATCTGAAAAGACTCAAGCACTCGAATTGATTTTCTCATTTTCCTTAACTTCATTTTCTTAGCAGTACCATCTTTGCTGATGACAATTCTCACTAATTTAAGGGTCAGCTTCCTCGAGCATCTGAACACAATTCTCATCGTGGGTCTTTTAACTGGTTGCCTTGCCGTGCAGAGAACTGCAATTCGCAATATCTCCACAGCATCTTCCTTGAAAACTTCTGGGATTCTTGAATCCACAAGGCTTAACAACGTTTTTTACTGTTGAAGTTGCTGCATACCCAACTCACTATGTCCGTATTCTCTCCATACTCGGCTCTATCGGCCTCTTTCCAGTAACCAGCTCCATTAATAACACCAAAACTATACACATCACTCTTCTCATTAACTTGCTTGTGTAACCGTATTCTGCAAAATTAACATTGTGTTAATTATGTATAAAACCTCCCCATAAATCCATTTTAAAGAAAATTCAAAAACAAAGAACATTGCTAATTTAATGAGCATCAACAAATATAGAAAATTTCTTACCAGGAGCGATTAACCGTGGGTTCCAGCAATTATATGACTGGAGTCTTTACTGCTATTGGCTTGAACAATCTTAGCAAGCCCAAAATCTGCAATCCTAGGCTTCAAGAATTCATCCAACAAAATGTTACTAGAACTTGAATCCGGTGAATAACTGGCCTCACGAACCCATGATGCAGATACTCCAACCCCTTTGCCGCCCCAACTGCAATTTCGTACCTTGTCTCCCAATCAAGTTCCATTTTTCGGACGTGTGCAGCCGATCCCACAGGCTCCCATTAGGCAAATACTCATAAACTACAAGCTTGAGTCTTCACTAGTAAACTACAATACAGCTTCACCACATTCACATGCCTTATTGAGCTCAAGGTCTGTACCTCTGCTTCGAACTCCTGAGACTTTCCGCCACGTTTACCAAGTATTGGAGTAGTACTCGGGCTCTTTTCAGGCCATTAGTATCACTATTCCAAATGTGTTTCACGGCAAGTTCTTACCGCTGGATAACATAACTTTGTATACATTTCCAGATCCTCCTTTTCCTATCAGATTCTCTTGCTTATGGAATCAATAATCTCATCTTCAGACGCAACTAATTCACGGAAAGGCTTCATGTTCCAAGATTCTTCCTTCAATGAAGGGTCGTGATCTTTCTCTCTCTTCTTAAGTAGAAGAACATGCAAACGAGACAGCAAGATCACTGTACCTAAAGCAAAGCAAATTAGAGCGTGAGGACATCCTTCGTATCTTTGACTTCTGGGAGCATCGCTGAGAAGATAATAGTCTGACTGCAGAGGCCAGGATTTCCGGCGAAGCTACCATTGTATGCTTCAATGGAGAGCGATCTGGAATGTGACCAGTTAATCTATTGTTGGACAGATCAAGAATAACTAGTCTCAAAGATGACAAACTCGCTGGAATTTGACCAGAAAGTTGATTTTCTGATAAATTCAGAGAGTTAAGAGTCGGTAAAGACCCCAAAACTGTGGGATTTGCGCAGAAAATAAATTGTGAGCCATGTTTAGGTCGCTTAGAGAATGCATGAACCTAATGACTTCGGAATTGAACCAGAGAACATGTGTTCTGCAACTTAAGAGTGCTCAGTGTTTTCAGGTCCCCAATCGACGCCGGAAATTTGCCTGAAAACTGATTGTTACTCAGATAATAGTAACAAAAGATGACAGTTCCGAAATTTCCTCCGGTAATTCACCAGATACCGATTGTTTGCGGCATATAGCTGCGCAAGGCTTTTGCGTTTCCAATATCTTTAGTGATTGGCCCTTCAATTTGATTCAACTCAATGTCTTATATTCAAATTTGGCAATCCCCATATTCCAGCTGGCACAGTTCCAGTTAGTGAGTTTTTACTAACTCTGAATCGCGCTAAAGTCAAGCAATTCGCATAACTCGCAGGAATTTCACCTGTGAATTTGTTTTAACATGAGAAGCCCCTTCATGGTACCTTTCTTGCACATATCTGGTGGAACGGACCTGTCAAAAATTCTCTGAAACATCAATGAAATCAAAGTCAGCCAAGAGCCAAGTTCTTTAGGCAAAGGTCCAGTCAACTGGTTGTGTACAAAGAAAGATTCACCAGTTTTTTAAACTGGCCCAATTCAGCCGGTACTTCACCGGAAAGCTGGTTCTCAAACAGCTGAAGAGACACCAGATTTGTCAGGAACCTCACTTCAGACAAATTGCCTTCAAGAAAGTTGGTTGACACATCAAAAAGTTGAAGATTAGTTAAGTTTCTCAATCCAACAGGAAGTTGTCCTGTCAATCTGTTTTGGTAAAGCTCGAGCTGCCACAATTTGTTGAGCTTCCCAATATCTGTTGGTATCTCGCCAGTTAAATTGTTTGCAGAGAGCTCCAAGTTTATGAGCTCCCCTAAATTTCCAATTTCGGCTGGAATTGGACCCTGAAGGCTACAGTTTGATAAATAGAGCCAATTCAGCTGGTCAGCTTTAAGA